AGAGCCAACTACAGGTAAAAGTCACGAAATCGTTCTAAGAAAGCCATTGAGAGAGAGGAGTGACTCTGCTTCCTCACTACCACGGAGACTTAATTTACATAAGGTTTTCGTTCAAGACAATATTCCTTGTATAACGAAACGACTAACTTAGACGAATCGCGCAAGCTTTTATGTATTTGCATGAAAAAATAGAGTTTAAAGAACATATGTCCACCGCTGTTCCCTCCATTTTTCAATTGTGTTGCACTTTATCCTATTTAGGAGCTGACAGTTGCCAGCTTACCGAAAAAATCAATTTTTCATTTGGACTCTGCAGGAGTTCATCGTGCAAGATTTCTGAAAGAATACTCCGTTGAATATATCGCATTTAAGGTTTAAATTTATTGACAGGCCTTGTTAAAATTTATTACCTATTACTGGGCACATTTTTGGTGCTCCTGCTGCCATTAGTGCTGCTGCCTACACAAATTTTGTTCATTTCTCTTTGATAATATTTTTTCATTTTAAAGGCATCGAAAATAAGTAATTTGAAATTTCTGTTATTAAGGAAATTACGTAGTCTTTTCATATCCAATCGATGCATTTCGTAACGATATTTTACTTTATTTTCCCTTTCAATATAGTACGCGAGAGCATATTTAAGATCGACAGTTTTTTCATTCGATAGCAAGAAAAATACCTACTATCGATATCTGCCGCTCTACCCGTTACAGTCAGTCGATAATCGAAAATTATAAACCTGCTTACTCGATGCTGGGATCTATATACCGACTCCAGATCTAGAGAACACGAAGCATGGATCATCAAATCAAATTTGCGTTTTTCGCGCAGAACTCTTATTGCGGCGATTGGATTTCCGCGCGATGCATTCGGTCTATTATTTGGAAACCATTATTCGGTACTCGCTATTTGGAAACCAATTTTCTCAGACCTAGATTTTTATCCAAAATAGCGAACACATTGCCTTTTGATGTCTTCAAGACGTCAATTGAAACTCTCTTGAAACTTCACCTTCCGATAATCAAGAATAATTCTCCAAATTTTTTTTTTGGGTTTTTGTGGTGTAACCGACTTTTCAGAAGTTAAGAGCGTTTAAGAATTTAAACAATAAAGAACAAAAGTAATATAACTGAAAATACCATCACTCGTAAATAAGTGGTGAAAATTACGCGAAATTTTTGGCAAGCGCTGCTTAGAAACTTAGCACTTTTCAAAGTTAACACGCATTGATTATATTTGACGATAGTTGAAATGATGAACACATATATTTCATTTGAATGTATGGATAGACATAGGTGTTTAAATATATACATATTAGCAAGACTGATATGTCATTTAAAGCAAAATCGACAAAGGGAGGAGACAATCAATTGCACAATTATTACACACTTATATCTATCAGAGTGAGAAATAGGACCAATGAAAAATGCGTTCGAATAGTCCCCTATGTTTATTTTGTGATGAAGAACTCCTTGGATGTGACCGTTTCGATTGGCAGCCATATCAGCAGACAGAATTAAATTAAAATTCAGCTTTTGAAGATCTTCTCAAACGTGAACTATTTTGAGTGTCCATGTCCGCTTTACAATTTAATCTGTTTAATGTAATCAAATATGCACAGAGTGTCTGGGCTGTACAGTGTCCCACTATTCACGCAAGATTTCGTCGTGTAAATAACTTTCGCGCTTTTACTAGCACACGCATACTCTTTTGTTCGCAATCTTTCATGATCGATGTTTCGTTTTGTATGAATAAGTCTGAGTTCCCTTCGGTGATCCAGAATTCGGTGATCGTGCACTTCAATTTTGGCATCAAGAGCTGTAGACAGCTTCTCGAAATGTCCAGTTCTTAAATATGATGTCGAGTTGATGTTCCTGAATTCTCAGCAACGCTTTCGCGAATTGCTTCGATTGATCCAGTCCTTCACAGTTCTCGCATCAATTTTAGAACACTTCATATTTATGCAATTAAATAGTTACGCAATATTTGATGGCACAAACAAACGGGGTTCGATCTAAAATCGTCCTCAAAAGTGCAAAGGGCATAGCTATGGATTGTAAATGGTATGAAATATTTAATATATCTCCACTCTGCGACGGCTCGATTAAAACGAAATCAGAAATGAACTCGTTCTTGTTATTTATTTTAACGCCGGTGAATACTTAAATGCACATATAATTTAAATCTGCATACGTAAGAAACGTTCAAAAAGGCAACCAAACCCCATTTTTATAAAATTTATGTGAACACGCATTAGTAACGAATGCGTACTAAAATGCGTGAAAATTTACTGCTATTCATTAATTTTCTGTTTTTCATACCCACCAGCGAGGGAAGTAGGTATGCTCTTTTTCCTCTGTCGTTTGCAACGCCTTCAAATACATATTCAAGATCCAATAATGCGAATACGATATCGATCGAGATTGCCATTTTAATGTTCTGAAATTTCCCAAATATACATATTGATTAAATATATTATCGATTCAATTACGATGATTCAATTCAATAAATTTCCATTATCCATACTGAAATGGACCTAAAAATAATTAATATACAGAAAAAAATTCGTGTCGCGCAATTTAGCGCAAGGCTTTGATGAATGAAACCAATAAAAATGTTCCAATCACTTTTTCGAAAACGAGAAAAAGGAAAGCCTCTGCTAATCGCTGATCGCAATTCATGTTTCATTATTTCCGTCCAAGGAAGAAGGGGAACACCAGATCTGAAATTTTTCATTTCAATATGTTTTCCAATAGGAAACAATTTTACATTGTGCGATAATTACTACTCCCTCTGTCCACAGCCGGGCGTCTTAATGTACAAATACATTTAATATTGTCGGTAGAAGAAGTTAAAAAATTCTTCCCTGACGTTGTTGATAATGCCAAAAATTGACGTGACTCGTTCAAGAATATACGCACAATTAAATGCACATTTATAATGTCCAAATAGTAGGGAGCTAAAATTCGCTTTAGAACAAATATAATTTTCTCGAATGTTTACGTCATTTTTTTTATTTTTTTTTATTTTTTTTTTTTTTACTACATTACTTAACTAACATGCTCTGACACTTAAACAAAATTTTTTAATTAAATGTTAAACAGAAATTTATGGTAAATGCCATCTGAAATATATGGAATAAATAATAAAATATATATATATATGAAATAAAATACAAAATAAAATAAATTCAAATGCAATTAAGTTTTTCATTTAAGAATGTGAAATAAATGCATCTGAAGAAACTAAATGATCTTAATTTAATTTAATTGACAAACTGACACAATGAATAATAGCAAAATGTCAAAAGCATAAAATAAAGAGTTAAAAAATATATATAAAAATCTTAGAACAGCCAGAGAAAAAAATAATAAATATTTTACTCTTGAATTATTGCATGCATATGTATGAATATTTTACATTACACAGTTTAAAAAAATTGTTTAAATTATTATTTAACTATAAATGGAGGAAAACAACAACAAACAACGCGTAACGTTCATTTTAGATTTAAACGAATATCGAATAGCCGCTATAAGTGATTTAAGTCAAAGTAAAATCTAACTTAATCGATGGGCGTATAACATTCTAACTTATCATAAATTGATGGCTAATTGTCTTTTATATCGGAGCACGGTCGCCCGACGATATTTGATATTTTTTTGTTTTTTCATCGATTCTTAATGTCACGCCTTTCGTCGGCGTCGTAACATGATTATTGGGGTGAACTCGAACGTTCTGTTCAGATTATTATCGCTATTATTATAAACCTGTATAGCAAAATGAATTAACGAACAGACTCAGCTAAATAAATGGATTAAGAACTGAAAGGTATTGCATAGCAATCTTTTGACAAAAGTTAATATATACTCTCTATAGTCGATGATCGTAAGAAAAACTCCAAAGTCACGTTTCAGAGACTTAGGTATCGGAGTTGTAAATCTACTACTTAGATACACAGCTATAAACAAACAAATAACATTAAAGGTTACGGATTATACAATGTAAATACAGTGCAACGCTGTATTTGTTGATGTGTTGTTGTTGTTGTTGTTGTTGTTGTTGCTGTTGCTGTTGCTGTCATTATTTAAAGTTGCTCACACAACAAACACTTATGCAGAGGGAAGCATTAGGAATAGCTGCTGATAGTTAAGTTTGCGTCTTATGTTGCAAACTGTAAATTAGGTAAAAAAAAAAAAATAAAACTAAAAAGAATTTGTGGTTATAGTAGGAAAAAGGTTAAAGTTTATATGACTTTTTGTAAAAATAATCATAATCAAGAAAAAACGACGAAAACGAAAACCAATTATATTATGCGTTTCAAGCAATAGAAGCCAATATGTTGAAGTTTTTCTTTTCAAAATAATCAAAAATGTGTACACACAAACGAGTTTGACCTAAATTCTTCAATTAACATGATGATGATGATGATGATGATGATGATGATCGCTATGATGATAATCATTATGATGGTGATGACGCCTGACCAGCATCAGGCAATCAATTGCTTAAGAGCGACAGTACAGGGTCTTTCTACACAACATCTTTTCAGGCACATAACGATGAGGTACGAACAGTGACTGAACCACAAATATCATAGGCAAAATATTCAATTTGTGCGGTCTATGTATGTGCATGTTGTGTATGTATGCATGTGTATCGATGTATCGTTGTCATCATTTATAAAAGTTTTGGTAAGACAATTCGCCCATAATCAATGAAAAGTGTTACGTAACCTAAAATTCAAAAAAAAAAAAGAAGAAGAAGAAGAAAAAAACCATCTTTGTCATTGGAAATGGCAATAACAGCAATAATAGCCGAACCGCAATGATTGCGCTTACAATGGAACGTCATAACAATCGCTAAATGCAGCCAACTCCAAGTCCACATCGTTAATATTATTGTTGTTGTTATTTGTTAATGATAACATTATTACCTGTTACAAAACTACAACAATTAAGTCGTATAAGGGTTAACATAATATATACACTCACCTGTCATCTACAAATTATTTCCAACTTTTCATTCTTTCGATATCGTCTTATTCCTGGTTGTGCTTAATTATTTGTAAGTTATTTTCAAAATTTTCTGGGCACTTGTTCAGTTCGTTTTGACTCTCTGACAGTAGTTTTAACAAAGTGACAATTAGAAATACATTGAAATGGGCATTTGTGTACGCATCGCCCCCAGTGGGAGAAATTTAAGCTAAACAGTCTTTTTTCCTGAACGGTTGCTGTATTGATCTCATATGCACTTATTTTGTCTATGTTCGAAAGAAAAATGAGATAAATTAGTACGCAAGCTTCTGTCTGCCTGATTAGTCGAAAACGAAAAGTACTAGTGATGTTTGATTAATTTTGGATGCATATGTGGACGTAGTATAGGTTGATATATTAGACCATCCGGTAATGGTCGATGAGACTTCAAACTAATACGGTTCACATGATTCATCGCCGAACCGAAAGGCAACTTATGGAAAGAATCTTCTGGCTTTGTATATATGCATATGAAAAGCGTAAACGAACTGAAAACCTTTCTCGAAAAGTTTGCTCGATATTCTTTAAATTACATTCTTTTCGAACGTCGAAATGGAAAGGCAAACTTCTGATAACAAAATCACGCAAAGGTATACAAAAGTGCAAAGTGCAACGAAATCACGGCCTAAGCAAACCTGTGGCGGTTTGTTCGTGTGTACCCTGGAATATAAATGGAAATATTATCCGTTCACATACGGAGAGTAGTCTATTTTTGAACAAGGATTTTGGCAAAATCCGAAAAATCAAATCTTTTGCTTCACACACTTTTCTTTCTCAATCTTTAGATAATGTCTGTCCTGTTGCTTTTTTTTTTACCCATTTTTACGTACTAACATCAAAATTAGACGCCACAACCTCCGAGCAAAGCAGGGTAGGAAGTTAAAAATTGGCCTAAACCTTGCGTAATCGAATAACCCAAGGCTAACAAACGATTGCCATCTGTTCACATACATGCTAATAATAGGTAAAAAACTAAAGCAACCTGTAAAAAAAAAGACAATAATACTTTCGTATTTTCATATTCATTACAAACCATATACCCCGCGCTACGGCGTCAGTATATATACAAAGTATGTTGAATGAAACTGATAGTCTGAACATTCTATATGCAAGACTATCGAACAATTCTAGTTTCAAAAAATTATGAATTAAGGAGTGAAGGCTCTTCCAATCTGCGTCGCAGCATATATTCCACTCTTCCCCGACAAATGGAACGTGCAGAAGTTGGTCCTCATTCCGAAGGGTAATAAGCCGCCGAACGAGCCATCGTCATATCAGTCCATCTGCCTGCTAAACAAAATGAGGCTAAGGAGAGATGTACTCTCTCGGATAACCAATATGGATTCAGAAGATAACGATCTGCAATAGATAGCATAAAGCATGTGGCGGCGCTTACCTGAGGCTAGGGCTGCAGAGCGATGGAGAGACGACGACAAAGAACACTGTGTTATCTTGCAAACCGCAAGTTGGTGCACTATAGCGACAATGGGAAGGAGTCGCATAAATTAACGGCGGGCGTCCCATAGCTACATATGCTTTCGGATGCAACAATTATCGGCTTTGCCGACCGTATAGCAACAGTAGTAGTCGCAAGATACGTGGTACAGGTGGACCCGAACGGTAATGAGGCAGTTGCAAACGCAAAGCCGTGGTTAGAAGAGATCGATAGAACTAGCGGAGCATAAGGCAGACGTGGTGCTAATAAACAGCCGAAATTGTGTGAAAACGTTATGCATACTAATCAGGCAACACCTCGTATAGTCATCACCTGCTCTCAAACACTTGAAGGTGATGCTAGATCATCGACGCAACTTTTAGTGCCACGTGGAATACACCGCAGAGGGATCTGGGACCATCCAGACGTCCTTGACGAGAGTTATGTTAAACATATTACAGGACAGAAACCCACCAATAAGAAAACAATGGACACGATGGTAACGCTCAGTAATGATGTATGCGAGCACCAATTTGGGCGGGTGCACTCATCGTAAAATAATTGTACCCAAAATTTGCGGCATATATCGGCTCAGAAGTATCTGTACTGATTCGGACACGATTGCTCGCCAAACTGCTCGGAATGACCGTAAGCAGAGGAAGATGCAGAGCACGTTACATTTTACTGCAGAAGGTTTAAGAATGGTAGAACCCAAAAAGATCTGACGCATGAAAACTGGCAGCAAAGAGGCCTGGAGAACAACTGACGAGTTCATTAGGAGAGTGCTCCACGAACTACGACGCTTATAAAGACAGCGAATGGAAAGAAGAGAGAGCGGAAGCCAATAGTGTATGTCACTGATGTCTTACGGTATGAAATGCACTAATTGCAACCAGCTTCCGTGAAGTAGTACCCCAAGATGGTCCCGCGGAGTTGCCGAAATAATGTGTGTGTGTGTGTGTGTGTGTGTGTGTGTGTGTGTGTGTGTGTGTGATTGCGTTTGTGTGTGTGTGTGTGTGTGTCAGGGGGGGGGGGTAGTTTTAGTATGTGGGCGCCACACACATACCTACATACATACACAGACCTGGAAACAACGATATTAGCTTTTGTATCAATAAAGCAGAAAAAGAAACTAGCTTCACCTGAACAAAATACTCCTATTATCTTCATTCTTAGTTTAGACGAACCACAAGCCTTTCTTCCCAAAAGTCTTACTCACCACATCTAATGTAGATAAACGTCGCCCTCTTTTATCTATAATTGTACTAGGCCACCATCATACCTTTATCTAAAGGGTATTTCCCTTAAATGGCTAGATATAAAAACAAGTAAGAAAGTTATATTTGGCGGGGGCCGAATATCACACACCCGCAACTAAGGTTTTCGCGTAATAATTCTAAATCTAATTCTAAATCAATTCAGAATTTCATGCCGATCAAGAATATATATAGACATTATAGAGTACCTTCGTTTTGGGTCTTACATACATTATGGAAAAGAACAAAATAAGTATACCACCATCTTACAGTGTTGGGCAATTGTGGAAAATATTTAAACGAATACACTAAGTTGTTCTTCTTCTTTGATAAAATTAAGAAGCTGCGGATTATTGGACATCGATGTTACATTGAATTTTTCTGAAGAACCTTCCTAGCAAGAGCGACACAATGAAAACAAAGTGTACGATGTTAAGGTTCTGTCGTAAAATCAATGCTCAAATTTGAAATTCAAAGCTAGGGCGCTTAAGCGCTGTTTTGCATATTTCTATATTCTCCACATGGGGATCATAGTATACTATTTTAGTAGAGTTACTACATATAATCAGTGCAAAACCTCTTCATCATTTCCATGCCTAGCTTATGAATCGTGAAGGATGAAAAATCCAACTATTTTCTCATTTCGAATACAAAGTTTTTGCCAATTTTGCTTATGCTGTAGATGGGTGCTTTGTCGGATTTACCCCATTCCCCGATATATTGATTTTTGTGTGAACAGAACTATGTTCAAAACAGAAAGATGGACAGTCGGACAGACTTAGATAGATTTACAATATACTATATAATATATGTATACATACTATGTACTATACATATACATATATATACATATGTGATATGGTCTTGGGAATCTCCTCGTGGATGCGTAAAAGAAGTCGTAGTGACAACTTGCTATATAAAAGTCTCTACTATCCAATACCTAGATGTTGCGAACAGTATACTGAAACGACTTTACTTCAATCCGGTCCCAATTACGAAAACCAACAAACTGTCAAAAAATTTTATTGCATCGTAAGCAAAAGCAAAAAAAAAATTTGAGATTTTTCCATTTTTACGTTTTCGCTTCGTTTCGTTTCGTTTTTTTTTTTTTTTTTTTTCGTATGCTTAAGTTCAAAACTGTTTTGAAACTTGTTTAATTGCTTTTTTCAAGCCACGTTAAAAATTATCATTAAACATAGTGGCTGCTACGGTCTGCCAATGATTTCTCTCTTCCGAAAATGGCTTTAACACTCCTTAATGGCCCCGGCCATTTGACATTTTAAAATTATTATCTGACAACAAGTCAAGTGCTGTAGTGTTTTTATGAGCCATAAATAATTTATCAAAAATTAATAAAAATTTTTTATTTTTTATATATTAAAAAAAAAAAAAAAAATAAAAAAAAAAATAACACTATGTATTAAAACCAAATGTAACGGCAGATAATCTAATAGGTCACGCTTTTTTTATTTTTTTTCTAAGATGGATAAATGGAAACACATACTGTGTTAAAGAATGTTTATTTATTGAACCTTTTGTTTTAAGAGATCTTTGACAATAAAAAAAAAAATAGTTTCTAGCAAAGCTCGTCCAACATAGTCTGGATAAAAGTCTGCCGTAAGTGATTTTCTAATCTTTCTTTTATACGTTTGGAATATGAAAGCAGAGGTTCGATTTGATAGCTGACAAAGGTTAACCTGTTCAATCGATAACGTGGCGCGATAATACTGAATGGTCAGCTTTTAAAACTTCCATTCCAGAATCAATTACAACTTCGGTATCCTCGCATATTGCTGTAATTTTAACTTATTTATCAAGATTTTCTCTCTTAAGCAGAGATCACTTTGCGGTACGCATTTCCGGAAAGCTTCGATTTTCGATTTTAACGAGAAAAAATGCTGCTGTCGTGCATCATTTGCTTGAAGAGGTCAGCGGCGAACATGCGCTGTCTAAAAATTGGTTAAAAGTCGCGACCACGACATTGAAGACAAAGATCGCTTTAGGAGAAACTATTGAGAATGCCAATCTTGAAACGTTATTGAATGATGATGACAGGTGAACACAAAATCAATCCGGGGAACATTAAATACGGTTATGGCCAACCGCCTACGTACAATGAAATAGTTGAGAAGAATGGAAAAGACACGTCATATGAAAGCACTCACAGGGGCAAATCGGAAAATCAAGTAGTCAGAGACAAAGAGTTTTCCTGCGTGGAATTCTTATTGGCAATGGGAAACGGATACATTTTGAAAATGCCAAGGCGCAGCTACATCGTTGCGCTCTACGTTTGTGCGCACCGGAGAGGTACCATGGATGGCTACAAACAACAGCTGACCAATTTAATTTGTGCACGGCTCGGAAAACGGCAAAAAAGGGGCACGGACGAGAGATATTGCTGCACGGTAACATTCCGTATAATCGCCTTTCAATCGTTCAGGACCATCAGAATACCAAAGTGGGATATGCGACCGCACCCACTGAGCAGATGTTTGCAACAGCTGTTAAATTGCTGCTATTTTTCCTCTTAGTCCATAAAACGCCCATTACACTCTACCCCACTTATGGCACAGGGTACATTAGATTTGTGCAGACATATGCAACTTTCAGACGAACTTAAGATAAACCCATTTCTTATTATATATTATATGCTTCAGCTTGACTGTCCGCCTAACGTCTGTCAACGTATTTTTCCGTATTTTGCGCACAAGTCTCAATTTTTGGTATATTGGCGTGTACTGTGCCAAGGACGAACCCTATTGAGCATGGATTGGATCTGCCCACTTTTTCGATCACCTCCCATATAACGCGTTATATCGAAAAGTAATTTTAAGAAATAATATTTTTATCTTTTTCGTAAGACGTTTGTCGCATATATGTTTCTTCTTTATATGTTGCTTTGAATAACACAACTTTTCTATTCAAAATGTATAAATAAATTGATAGCAAGTTCGTTTCTTTTTTCATCCACAAAATGAAATTATATTTCATAAAAAGTCTACTAAACATTTTAAGAAAAACAGTGATGTTTTTCTAAGGACAGAAGGAAATCATATGGATATCAAGCAGCATATTATTTGAAAATGAGCATTTATTGAAAGAATTGCATAATCACGTTAAACATAGCTAATTAATTATAATTATTTTGCTAAGAATTATTGTGAACTTGCGAAAAGTGTTTGAAATGATCTTTTGCCCAAACAAATCAGTTTTCAAGTAAATTTTCCGCCTTCTTTATGATTACATATACAAATTGCATTGCATCACTGCAGGAATGCACGGCGTCAATACATTCATTCCGTTCAGCGGTAACGTTCGCCATCTATGTCGCAACGTACAATGATCTGTGCTAGGTACATCCCCTACATGCAAGCAAGCAAATCGTAGTTTGATGATTGCGTGCATAATGCGCGATGCATACGTATGTATTTTCCTTAGCTTTTAAGCTATGCATTGCTTTACCGTATTCTCAGTTACAAACTTAACTAAAAGTAACACCTACTCTACCTTATCGAAGGCTTTGCTATGGTATTTGCAGAAAACTTGTACTTTCTGGTAACTTTTAATCCGTTCTACCTGCGTATTAGCGCACGTGTATAGAATTTTGTGCATCAGAAAGACTATGATTTTACAGTTACTACTTGCAATTGTACTTTATCGCTCCTATGTCTTATATAATATTTACATAACCGGGAGTATGCTTTGTGTGTGTGTAAGTTTATTTTATATTTATACGGATACATATAGGAAATGTTTGGATTTGTTTCCTTCGTTTCTTTTTTACTTTTCACACAAATGTTACGTTTTACTTACGGTATGTCTTCTACTTATAAATATTTGGATCAATCCATTACATTAGAATACTCTTACTTGCTGATCAAGCTTCTAAATGCTGATAATGATTATGATGAATTCGCTCCCAATATCAACTACAAAAACGTACAAAAAGATGTATGTAATAATTTATAACATTTTGACCAAGTATTTTTCCAGTTCATTCCATATTTTACCGCTGAAGAATTCTCCGTCAAAATGATTGTAATCGGTTTCTCAGGAATTGCCTTGAGCCGATGGTTTTCGAAAATTCGCGTGAAAGCAAGCTAAATTTCCTTATTTCTATTACTACAATTTTTTTTTATTTTAATAGGTAGACCACTGTAAATTTTTCAAAGAAAAAAAATTTTTAATTTTTTAGGATACGTGGAAAAAATTTCATTCCACGCAAAGCATTTTTTCCTTGAAACTTCGGAAGTTCCTTATTAGCAAAATGTTTTGGATATAGCGACTGACGTTATTGTGTGCGATTTTAATGGCGGTATGTCTAACATTGTAGAAATCATTGAAAGTTTTGAAGATGAATATTGATACCCAAACAAACAATATTTGCATTGCAATCGACACGAGTCAGATCAAGAAAGTTGAGCGGCCTTTGACAGGTGTTGCAAAACAGGGAGGTTATAGCGTTAAATCATCGATAAAAATCGAAATGAAGGAATATGTGAACTTGAAAAGGCAGTTGTAAGGTCCCGAAGTCGCAGACCAAAAGAAAAAAAACACTAAGAAATTGTCATAAAACAATATGTTTGCAAAACACGTTAACACTTTAAACGCGGTTTATCTCGAAAAACAATTTTTGAAATCGACAAGCAGCATAACTCAAACAATTTTCATTTCTTTCATCCGAATTTTTTATTATATCCTGAAAACAACATTCTCTACAGAAACGCGTACGATATTTTGCAAAGAAAAGTTATTTTTCTAGTACTTTTAAATACAATTAATGCCCGCCACAAGTAATATTATTCCCCTACTTCTCTTTCCATCCAAAAAAAAATTGCCAAAGAAACTCTTTCTTTTTTTTGGGTATTACGGCCTCGGAAGCCATGTGGTAGTCCCATGCATTTAATCATAACCACATGATTTTTAAAGTTACCTTGATTAATGCAAATGTATACTATCGCTCTAATTATATATCGGAATCTTTAACAATGCAAAATAGAACATAAAAGAAAGTATCTATTACGCGATTAATAACGAAAGTATAGTACAATGCAGCAAATTGCACCAATAACAGCAGCAACAAGTTTGAAATTTATGTTTTAAGAAGAAACAACTATGGTTGGAAAAGAAGTTTTTGTGCATGCTACTTGCATCTGGCAATACCGACTTTACAGATGAGTATTTTTATTATTGGTCGAAAAGTTGGCAACAATTCTCCCTTAAATGCAACTTCACATAATGACACATGTCAGCTTAATGTAGTAAAATAATTTCCTACCAAAATGTACAAAGCAGAAAGTGCTGCTGGGTTAGTATCAGTGTGTGTGCGTAGATTGTCTTTTAGGAACATTGAAATTAATTAATAATTTTACGTTATGTCGACGAATATAAATGATGTATATTACAGTTTAGATAAAGATTTAGAAAATGATAGAAAATTGTGTCAGGTTTTTAAGCTTTTTCCCTGTCTTTACGATCGTCAATCAAAATTATATCAAAATAAAAAGACTTGCGAAGCGGCTTGGCAAAAGATTTCGCGACGCTTTTCCGATACTCGTAAGTATTTTTTCAATTTTCTTTTTCTGCTTAGTTTTGTAACCGTATATTATTAATGTATATTTAATTGTGCACATAATCGTTTCGTACGTTTCTTGGTTGCGTTTGACTGTTGTTGCTACTGCAGATAGCTTTCATAGTTGGTTTCATATGCACGTGTTAATAATGCATTCGGTGTCACTGTTGGCCCAATTAGGATTTATTCATTTTTTGCTTCGGCATTCAGTCTTCGTTGTCAGTTAAAAAAATTACATCGGTGTCGATGTCAATAGATTTACTGCTTTGCATTTTCATTATTTAGTTAGAGGACCTGCCAAAATGTTCGCGAACGCATCAAAATGATTAATTGATAATAATAGGTTGAAAGTTAGACACAGAATAAAATTGTTTTATTGACGAACTTATTTCAAATACAAGTTAGTAAAAATATATAAGCAGGTGCTGTTTGAATTTTGTGTTTTTTCTGAAAACTGAAAACTTATTTTTGATTTTACGCAATCTTGTCAGAAGGGTAAAAAAGTTCCATTTATACTTGAAAATACACAACTTTCTATTTCTTATTAGAGAGTAACGGAATATAAAAACCATTAAAATTTTTGAGTGATTGTGACAATTGACAAGCACAGTTTACGTATTGGACGACCGATACTTCAGACGTGATAACCTCAGCAACCCTTGATTTTGAAGACAAAATCCCAATATCTTATTGTAACTTTCTAAATTTGTAACGAAAGACGAAAGATAGTTTGCGAAGGACTCGCGAACTAAGTTGTTGATCTGCGATATCGACTTGGCCATTTCCGTTCATAGATCTGTCCTTCGATTATAATTACGATAAGAGCTTGAGTTTTAATAAAAATTTTAAATTTAAATCCTTAAGACCTTTTTATTCGTTTCGTTGTCTCAATTAACTAACTTAGATCCTACAATTTGTTATCCGCCCCTTCCTTGATTCGTAGTAAATGGTAAAATATAGCACAGTAACGTAGCTAGTAACAGGCGGATGCATATCAAACACAAGCGCTTATAATAAAGAGGAGACAAGCATTACGTACCTGTAGGTATAATAAAAATATAATTACATTGTTGTAAACGGTATTACATTTTTATGTACGTACAATGAAAAGCGTTAGCACGTTCATGTATTACAGTTTCACTGTATCCAAAAAATATTTGAACAGCTGTGAAGATAATTGGCTTATAAGCTCAAAATTTTTTTCTTTTACTTTCCGAACTTTAACTTAATTTTCACTCGCTTATCGACTGTGAGATGCTGGCGCAACAATTTGCATATCCAAAATAAATTTGCTTTATCTCGAAATACGTTGGGATTTACCCATAAATTTTTTAAATGGTATTGTAGCTTTCATTCCATACAAGCGCAGGCTTGTTATTCGACTCCTAATTACTACAGCAAAGACTCGTATGTATAATAAAGTCAAAGTTTATTGCTTTTTTTGGTTAGTAATAAGAATATACTTATTTTAAGGCATATATCTCTCGGAACCAGGGTACATAATAGTTTTGGCAGAGATTCCGAACAGCGTCAAAGTCTGCAAAAATTTGTGATAACAAAACTTATCTTTCTGCTAATGAAAATATCTTAACCATTCTTTTGATTAAATTCCTAAGAAAGAATTCGCCATTTTACTGAAAACTGCTGCCATTCCAGAATAACATTTACTCCTTTTGCTATTATACATAGTTGCAACTTTTAGGCTATTTTGCATTCATCTTTACGGTTTGTTAAACAGTGGCTTTCAAACTATTTTTGATGCTGTGTTTCAAATTGAAGAGAAAAAAAGTACAAAAGTGTACAAAACGTAAAACAGTAACGAATTGGTTTTCAAACGTCATTAAAACCAGGACCGTAGTGCATTAAAAAAATACAGTACAATACTTGAATCGTGAGATAAATAAAGCTTCGTTAATCAACAACAATGGGTTATAAATTAAAATATTCTTGATTAGTTCTGAATCTGCTCAGGCAAGTCTGTCCGTCTATGCATCGGTCTGCAGTAATCATACCTTCGGTCTCAACAATTGACGTGCAGGGGAGTATAGAAAATGGACTAAATAGGTTCAGAGCGACGCCCACAGTGCAATGTAAACTGGCATTATCTCAGCTCTCGAAACCAAAAAAAGCGGCATTTTGCTCACTACTTATAAAATACAATCTGTACCAAAAATCGGAGTATCTGACATGCTTATCTAATATTGTAGCACATCTAGATTCACTTTTATACCCACAAATGTAAGATGGGGGTGTACTCATGTTGTTTTTTTTTCCATAATGTATTCTTGATTAGCGTGAAATTCGGAGTTTATTTATTCACGTCAGTCCGTCTGTGTGTTGTTGATGCTGTCTTGGTCGAAAAAATGAACATATTGACTTCAAATTTGCTAGAAACATTGGAATTTTCTGTGTGCAGGTTGGCATTGACAATGGGCCAAATTGGTCGGAGCAGAAGGGCGCAGTGGAGCGTAAACTGAACGCAACTGCATTTTTATTAAACAATTTTTTTTTTGGATTTTTGCTCGTTCCTCAAAAATTATTAAAGTTAGAAGGCTGAAATTTTCCACGTTTACTTTACGATGCACTCTACTTACTACGTCCAAAAATGGGAACATTCGACCACGCCCACAAAAAGTTACAAGAAATTAAATTTTATTTTTTGAGGTTTTACGCTTTGCTTAAAGCTGCTTGGTACATTTCTCAAATGAAGACGTATTATCTGCCTAAAAACGGGTTAATTCTAAAATGGATATGGTATATACACCACCATAACGCAGTTACTTTTTTCTTAATAACATCATCGATATGGGTATCAAATAAAAGAACTTGGAGAGTAGACTGCGAACAGTATCGTGATGGGTATGCGAGATTCTGCCCCCGCCGAACATAATTTTCTGACTTGTTTTCTTTTAATTTGTCAGAAAGAGATGGTTAGCAAAGAAGATTTGACAATTACTGAATATCAAATTTCTTACTTGCTATCTTTGTTATGTTACAGTTTATGAGTAACAAGCAAAAAATTCTAAATGCAACTTCGGTGTCAGTTAATATAGTGGTGCAAACATGTTCGTCAAACGTTTTAAATGCCAATCTGTGTACAAGAACTTTCAATGTTTTTATAAAATTTAAAGCCGATATTTTGATTTTTATGGCCGATATTATGCTTACAAGATATAGACACATAGATGCGCTGACAAACCTGCGAAAATTCATAAATGGAGACTCATCAAAAATATTATACTTCGTACGGCAGACCTGCAACATCTCGGTGGTAGATTTTTAGTTAGAAGAACTAAATGGTGTGAAGTGAAGCTTTAGCAATGCGAAAATACGAGGAATCATTGCCTAAAATATAATAAAAAAGTAGGCTATTAGCCACGTAGCCACGGTATATTTGAAAGCAAGATTTTGGGTATTTCGTATCTAAACTTTTTCCAAATAATGTGTAAGCTTGTGCGGACCAGAACTCGTATTCATACAAGCATCCTAGCATATTAATGCTCCCTAACTGGCCATCGCTAGATTAGCTTCCTCTTTTTATTCACTGTACCAAGGAAACCGGGTCAGAGAAGCAAAGACACATGTGTATCGATATTACGTTGTGCGTATATAATGTGTGTGCCCATTACTCAACTTTTGAGTATCGTTTAAACAGAGTGCAAAATTGGAATTTAGAGCATACAGCCTTCGTTAAATTCTCAAACAAAGTTCAAGAACGACGTATTAAAAAATTACAGAAACATCGAAGAATTAGGACTGACAGTTTTGGCTATCCAAAGTTCCTTTCGCAATACTTACCGTAGATTCATTCATTATTCTTTGAAGATTCTCTTAACCTTCTAGACTAACGCTCTCTTCTTCTTGGTTGTAGTACATATTGTTAATTTGTTCATTAGGTGCAACAAGCATACGTGCATGAATATATAATGTCATGGCGGCGGCTTCTTTATGATGTAATTCTTTTACATGGGAAGCTTTATAATACGCAGGGGCATACATTTATGACAGAATAAAAGTAAGCTGATTGGAAAGATATAAGAAAGTTTGATCTGAGACAAATATATTTATTTCTCAGTTTTATATTCTTCTGTTTGTTTGACCTAAATTTTACTAAGAACGCGCGTTCATAAGGCGAGTAAAGTTATCAACGCACACAAACATACGCTACCGAAGATTGAGGTTATTTTAATTCATATAGGAAAAATTATGAATATTTCTACCTTTCCAAATTCTATACATTGACACTAACATATATTATGATTTTCTAACCTCGGAATGTTTGCAATTTCTTTCCTTTTGCCTTAATTGCATACCAGACATCAACATTAAGCAACGATGGCAAGAGGTTTATCGTTCATTCGCCGGTAATGAATTATCTCCAAATGAAGCGAATTACAAGGATCATTATTTATATGAATATTTGGAGTTTTTGATACCGCATATACCTATATCATGCGAAAGTAACTACAGTGTGCAAGCAAAGAATTGCGATGGGAATTTGGTAAAGGCCGACAATGGCCTTACCACCACGTCGAAAGATAAAGTAGTAGCGGAAGTTACTACTGATAGTGATACAACTAGCGCAGATGAAACAAATAGCCCATCCGAGGAAAATGTTGATGAAGAGAATGGATTAATTGCAGATAGCAGCAGTAGTAGTCCTTTAACCAAATGTCAGAGTAAAGTCGAGACATTTATTATAAAGCCTATTGAAGATAATTGTAAGAACTTACAAGCCAGTTCCGCTTTAAATGACAGTCAAACGAAATTTGAAAATATTCCTATTACGAGTGAAGAGCCAACGCCCTCATCCACCGAAGAGGAGAATCGACGTTATCATTTTAGAAGAGCTTGCAAGCGACCTCTGAACGAGGAAATTGTCAAAGAGCTGAGGTTAGAAGATAAAAGGCCACGTCGTGGCGTTGAACGTGTTAAAACGTTTAATGCCGTTCTTCCGGAAGAGGTTACTAAGGAAAAGCCAATTGCAATACATCCACTTAGGAAACTTGAAATCAAAGTTGCTAAAGTTAATCTAAATAATAAAAAATCGTTACCAACTAATAAGAACGCAAAGGCCAAGCAGTCGGATATCGGGACTTACTTGAAAGCGTCATCAAGTAGAGACCAGAGTGTAGGTTGCGATCAACCTAAAAAACACAGTGACACTGCTACACAGACTGCCAATGATTCAACTCAGTTTGATGATTACTTTTTGTCCACCCTAAAAACTCAAATGGATCTTATGAATTCACGACAGAAGCTTAATTTTAAAAGCAAGGTTTACAAATCTTTAATGGAGGTGTTCGATGATAGCAGCAATTTTCCAAATCTTAATGAAATCATCGAATTACCGCCAGCGGGAGCACCACGCTTTCATACCACCACCCCTGAGGAATTGCGTTTGATGCGTGAGCTAGTAGCTTTAGTGCAAGCAGCTAAACAAACTCCAGAAATAATAAATGGTAATGACACTGTGAATCCTGTTGCCGTATCGCCAAAAGCAAAAGAAGTGAGTGATACAACAAAGCAAACGTCTCCATTGTCGGCAACTCCTAGTACAACTAGTGCACCAGCTCAACTTGTGAAGGATACAGAAATTTTGGGCATACCGCGTCACATTATACGTAAAGTGGTGAAGGTAAGTGGCTCTACCGGGGGTACCTTGATGACGCAAGATGGTGAAAAAAAACGTATATACCGAATATTTCCGAAGGGTCCAATGAATTCACCAAACTATCAACAAGGAATTGGTACATCCAATGCGGGAACCATATATTTTGGCCCTTCGAAAAGCCAGGCAATCACAAACGCCGCTAAAAGTATAATGAACACTACAATTTCCACTCCAGTTAGTGGCACATTGCCAATAAAAGTTGCAAATACTACTATTGGAACTATACATTCTAAGAATATAATTTTAACCAATGGTAAATCTGCCGCCGCCGGGAATGAACACGTAGGAACAATGTTTCCACCGGAACGTAACAAAACTTTTACGGTCTCTACTAACCGTGGGACAGTTGCAGCTGCTCAACGTCGTGCCATAATGGCAAGACAGCAACCACAAGTGCTGCGACGTTTTTCATTTTGTGGTTCAGGGACTTCCAATACTTCCAATCCCAATAGCAACAATTTTACAGCAACCGGACCCAATTCGAGAACGCCGCCGATTAAACCTGTGGTAACTACGCGACGTTTCGCCGCAGCAAATGCGGCGGCAGTAGCTAAAATAGCCAACGGCGAAGGAAATGTGAACACAGCGTCACCGTCCGTTGACACGCCAGCTTTGATTACAGAAACAAACCCAAATAGTCTATCATCGAGAAATAAGGAGGTGAAATCAAGCTCGGCAACACAAGACCAAAGAGACGAATCGGAAAATAAAACTACATTTATAGATCCGTCACAAATTAAAACTATCATCAAAACAGAAGTAATAGACTAAATTTTTTTTTTTTCAATTTTATTTGAATTCTATACAAATTCCACGTTCTTAGAGTTTAAATAATATTGTCATTCTTTCATTGCCTTAGTTAACAAATACAAAATATCTTGAGGTGAGTAGAAAATAATCGTGGTTCGCCATTAATTGTTTAACTTGAGAAAAGAGATATACGCAAAATTGTGTTCAGGCAAGTTATTCGTGTAGTCTTTTAAAGTATCTCGCAATTGGTCTGCCTCCCATGGCAAAATATTCGAGGAAGGCATGATGTATTCCGTGAAAGAGGACAGCCCCATCTTTCTATTCACTTTTCACAATATTATTTTGTCAATAATTCCCGTCCTTTCGTCCTAAATTCGACGTTTTCTGAATTCATACAGACCGGCTTTGCTAAGGCTCTCCAACGTGCAGTTAGGATGCCCAATGTACTCTGCATAACTTTCCTTGCCCTTCAAAGACGAGCATCGAAACCCCACGTGCCGAATTCCTTAAAACGCTGTTGGAATGCTTACGCGTTTGCTTCCATTGCGCCGATGCAATGAAGAAAGTCTGGCATGTTATTGACATCCTACGTTGTTCCATCGACATTTGCTAGGAAATACTACACATGCATGCATATGATTCCGCATTTTTCGTAAATGATCTTGTGCGCCGTTCAAATGCCTACTTTAAATGAAATGGATCGTGGATTGGATAGTAGATTGCTGTCACTGTGAGCAAAGTACCTAATAAGTCACAAGGCATAGCAATGCATTTACTACCATTCTTGGTGTAGAAATACTTATATGAGTGTGAGAAAAAGTCCACATTTAACTGAGATGGGCGGCCGGAATGAATTTTTATGAACCTTGTTGATGCAAAAACTCCATTAGCATCACGATTTTGAAAAAGTTCTCTTCCCCAATATCTTCTCATGTTGCCTTAATTCTTTACTTCATTGCTCAGCGAAGGTACCTTTGCATTAACTTTGTTAGAGTTATTCGTCATATATTCATTTTCCGTATTTATTGTGCTTGGTGTATTCTTCTTACTCAAACCATATGCTTTTGCTTACTGTTTTTTATAAAATGATATGGTAGCGCGGCGTCTTCACCGTGTTTACCATTTGAGACTTATCAACACAAAAGCGAAATAATGCGTGAATGTGTTTAAGGCCTTAATATTAGTTTGTGTTGCATTTCGCAGCAATGTACAGTAGAAAATTGTCTGTTTATTTCCGATAGACATACTTTAAATTATGCTTTTATAAGATTTGGCAGCACTTTAGAGTCACTTAAATGAACTAGAAATCATATTTACTAAGCCATATTTATAAGCTAATACAGGGAGTCTGTGATAATTGTCAAGTGTTTCTCTGTTCGCCTACGTTTGTCTCCCTAACGAAACTATAATTGTTCTGTACTATCAGTCCAATAAGCAAACAATGTGTATAAGGAAACATTTAGTGTAAGTCATATGCAATCTCTTCCTCTTTTTTAGTTTTTTCTCACTTTATGGCACGATACAATTAAATATTAAAATGCATTATTATGATCTTTACGACGTAGATATTTGTTGTCAATAAAGTTTTTTTTGCAAGAAATTTTTGCTGTGGAATTTTTTTTTATTATGATTTAATTCTGAAACGAAAATTGCCTTTTTTAATGAACAGATAATGTAATGAATGCGTCTGAAATTGCGTTGCATTGATTGCGGCTCGAACATAAATTGGACATAGCATGCACAATATCGTTAAATATACCTAAAATTTAAATTTAAACGCAATTGTAGAGAAATAGGCGAAAAGCAAAATGAAATGAGAAGAAATTTTCTCAACTGACAGACGTGCCAGATATAAATTTTAAAGTAACTAATGGTAAATAACGAATAATTGCAGCTTCATAGTTTGTTAACAAACGTTAACCAGCTTAAACAAATCAAGAGGGGAAAATAAATAAAGAGAGTCAGGTAGTACCTACGCAGTTAGTTAAATGAGTCTGCAGTAACAGCTGCTCGTATGATAAACACAAACTGAGTAGCAATACAATATAAAAAAAGAGACGACAGCAACAGCAACATTAGGTGGACAAGAAAGCAGGCAATAAAATAACAAGTACAAAATTACACATACAAGACTTAACGCGACTACTGACTGAGAGTGTTTTATTGCTTACAAATTTTTTGTATGTTACGAGTATGTGTTTTTATACAGATAATAATAGTGCCAGCTCTGGAGGTAGTGGCGGTCGTGGTGGTGGTTGCTTGATTGGACGTACACGTACTTATTTTGCGGTATAAAAGCCATTTCACACATATTAATACCATATGATGACGATGATGGTGGTAGTTGTCGTTTGAGTGTGTTGATTATTTACTTGTCGTTGTTTGCTTGCATGCACATGCTACAAAGTTTATGTTACAAAAGAAAAGAACATATTAGGTCATTGCAAACATCTGCGGCGTCACCCATCATTGCTTATTTACCATTGCCGATGCGTTTAACTGTCTTTTGAATAGTTATACTTACTTGCTTCAACCGAATATAATATTCAGAGAGAGATCTAGAGAAAGAGAGAGAGAGAAGAGACCCTATCAAGGGCATGTAAAAAAATTGTTGATGTACAGCTGCTGTTACCTTTCGGATTATGATGACCAATTTCGTTGTTGCTGTTGCGTCTGCTTGCCTGGTTGCTACATTCAAAATGAATTAAAAAAATACAATGCACATATACACGCGTGCATATACGCACACACACACACACACACAAACACACACACACACGCGCTTATACACATAGAGAGAGAGACAAACAAAAACAATAGCCAACACTTTTTACATGTTTTGTGAACGTTGTGTTGTTGCTGTTAAAGACAGCGAACGACACATTGTATCGTTTTGTTAGTATTGTATATAAATAAGTATTTATATATGTTAATCCCATACAAACATCTACGTACATATATTACATGCATTTCAGAGTAAGTGTAAGTGGTGTGTTTTCGGGTTGCTGCTTGTGCTGCCTTGACCGGGGTTTGTTGTGTTGTTTGCGCTCTTCCATCAGTCTTTTAGTTGCTGTTAAACGAGCGAGTGTGTTGGCAATTTTTTCCATTCCTCTTGAACATTGAATTGTGTGAGCTTAAAATATTCTGTTGCTCGGCGCTGGGTTGTTGTTAATAATAACATCAGCAATAATTACACAAAAGTATCGATTTATTAGAAAAACTATTCTTAACGACATTGAATGAAATTGAAAAGTCAGAAAATGACTTCTTCGGCTTCGTCGGCGGACTCAAAACCGGACAATTATCAAATCAATGCTAAAATATGTCGCTTGGTGGAACAATATCCGTGCATGTACGACCGTTCACATCCACATTATTTGAAAAAAGATGTTGTCGATCAGGCTTGGGTGAAAATCGCTAAAGAAATGAATGATTCAAGTAAGTATATATGTAAATACATAAATATACAATAAATATAAAAATGAAAGAAATGGAAAAAATCGAAAAAACAAAATTCATTATTATCTCACATTGAACTACGCTTTGCCGTAAATCGTATACATTTTGTTGTTTGTTACATGAAAGGGGGCAACATTTCGGTTGTAAAATGGTGAAGCAAACGGGGGTTTCTCTCCGTATGAAAAATAGAAAGAGAAAACATAGCATACGTACACACGTATAAAAGTTTACCAAAGATGTAACAACTATTCGTAAACAAACAACAACGCAGTTGTGCAGCAGAGAGAACGAGCATTTTCTTTATTTTTTTGTGTACATATGTTCTGGCACTCACGTTCTCTGCTTAGGATAGACTAAAGAGCACAACGTTGCCAGAATAGAATTTGATGCTTTATGCAGTACAAAGGAACAATTATAATTTTTTGTAGGAATAAATGACTGCTTTTTATGCCCCTGATTAGTACCGCAGAGCAGATTTATTTTTGTCGCATGTAGGTTTATTTTCCATTTATTTAAGTAAACAATTCATAATAATAATCAGTTGTAATTTGAAGAACATTTTCGGATTAAAATTATAATTGCATTATGGTTGAAAGATTTGGAAGCCGCGGTATAAGCCCAAAGGCAGACAATTTTATATCTCTGGTAAGGCAAAAGCAGAAAGCGCAGGCGAGATTGGTATAACGACATTAATTTAGGCCTACTTATGCTCGGAAAACTATGCAAGGCACGAGCAAGCATATCAAAAGAAAAAAAAAATTAATAATGTTGATCGATGTGATCTATTACACTTTTGGATCTAGGCAGAGACAGGAAGACATGGACTAATCACAGAGCAGAACTCATTACAAAACTTTAGGAAGTGTTTAGAGAGCAAACAAAAAATATCGATTCCATCGTTTACAAAGCATTAATGTTTAACAATCTTATAAACTGAGGCCTATCCCAGCGTAGGAGAGCGCACTCTTACTTATCTTCCTTACGACATTATTAACGTTAAAATGAAGAAAGCCAGTAAGCCTACTTTCTTTGAGTAATTGTTGCTTCATAATTTATGCTTCAGGTATGAAAACTAACTTTGAAATAACAAAAATATTATCCTCATTATTGTACGTCTAAGCAAATTTATGTTTATATATTTATTGATATGTATCAATAAAAATATAATATAATTTATTTTAATGAATAAATAAATAAATAAAACAAAACACGAAACATAACCTCCCTGTATTAGAATAGACTATTAGATACCGGGCAGATATTTCATAACAATTGCTTCGCTAGTACTAAGTAAATGAATGCTCCGTTATGACGTTTGGTATAATAAACATTTATCCTTTTAGCTTAATTATTAAAATTCACTCAATTTAATTTTTAGTACCGTCGTGCAAAGAACGTTGGCGTAATATACGCACATCATACGCCCGCTCGATAAATGTAAATAAAATACCGGCAAGCGCTAATCGTACTAAGCCTTATTATCTGCACGAAGAACTTCAATTTCTATCGCTTCACATAACACCCGGCATACCTATATCCAGGCACTACAGATTAACTCATCATAACGACAAGGTTGATATTCTGAAAAATGCAACAGGTGGGGAGGAATCATTTGACAGTTATGCTGCTACCATGCGAGATGATGAAGAGGACAATTGTCCCGACCGTGATGAAGGTAGCAAGAGTGTATCAAGTGAGAAAATGGCCAAGATACAACAAGAAATGGAACAAGAAATTATTCAACAGGAAAGGCAACAACAACAACAATCAATTCCAAAGCCTATTGTCCAAATTGAAGAGGAAGAAACCGACGCAATTATAAACAACAGTAATAGACGAAATTCCATAAATTACGCATGCGCGCCGCCGAAAAAGAGATTGA